TTTTTTTTTCTCATATTTTATTGTCAACCATTGGAGAAATGGCTGACAATGTTGAAGCGTTGATTCGACATTGGTTGCAACCAAATCAGGCTATTGGAGTGTCGATCTAGCATTGGTTACGGTTAGATTTGGCTATTGAAGCATCAATCCGCCAAGTGGCACCATTAGATCTAGCGTTTCCCGTAGCGAGATCAGTGCTCCAACAGTCGAATCTAGCCACAACCAGTGTTCGATCGGTGCTCCAACCTACTCCCAATTTCTTCGATGGTCGACAACAGAGAACTTGGTGATTAATTATATGAGTATTCCGAACTTTAATACATATACATTATCTAATAATTACCCAAACTCATTTAAAAACCCGATTATGTAAAAATATTATTAAAATGCTCTTCATGGGTACTCAATTACCTTAACTTATATTCATATACAATAATATTTCTCATCCATGTTCTTTATAATTCTCTAATAATTAAATTTATAAAAAAATACAAACAATAACATTTAAATTTAAATAATAAAAAACAAAAATATCAAATATCAACTTAAATAACTAAAACCTAATATCCAAGCAATAACTTAAACAACATTACACAATTACAACAAGGTAACAGCATTACAAGTTTAATTAATTATATGAGTTTATCTTTAATTATATGAAATTAAAAAAAAATTAAGTTTCAAAACTATTGTAATATCATAACTTCTCTTTATATATATATATTATAAGTTTATATAAATATTGGTATTTATATTATAATTAATAATTTTATAAGTTATAATTTTTGTATTATTAACACAAAATAGAAAGGAAATATGTTTATATTTAAAATATAGATACTAAAGGTATATGTATAATAGTAATTATATTCATTATCAATTAACACAATATATAAAGTATATATATATTTATACAAAGATATTACACGTTAAGTAATAATCATAGTTTCATGAATTAATTTAATTAATAATATATATTTATCCTTAATTAGATAATATAAAAAAAATTAAGTTTCAAAACTATTCTAATCTTATAACTTCTTTTTAGATATATATATATATATATATACTATTTTATATACATAAAGGTATATACATTATAATTAATAATTTTATAAGTTATAATTTTTGTAACGTTAATACAAAATAGAAAGTAAATGTGTTTACATTTAAAGTATATAAACTAAAAGTATATATATATAATAATTATATTTCCCATAAATTAACATATTATATAAAGTATATCTATTAAAAGACATTATAAGTTAATTAATAATCATAGTTTCATGATTTAATTTAATTAATAATATAAGTTTATTTTTAATTACATGAAATTAAAACAAACATAATCAAGTCCAAGTATTGGATAACTAAGAGGTGATACTCGAACCTAATACAAATAGTGAAATTTATAATTATAAAATATTAACTTTATATAATTATATCGAATATTTACATATACCCTATAATACCCAATGCCATCCTTAGTTAAACAAATAAGCAAATGAAGCTTAAAAAGAAAGATTGTGGATAATACTATGGGGCTTGTCCATTTGAAACAAGACCCAAGAAAAGACAGCCCAAGAAACAGGACAAGATGGTAAATTCATCGTAATAGTAGGGTTTAGCCACCCCTTTCGGTTTTCTTTTTCCTTCTTTTTTTTTCCCATGTCGTTGGCCTCTGCTCTGCACCTTCACGTCACTTCGATTTCTGCTTGAAAGGTAAGCTCTCTCTCTATTAAGACAATCAAATATCAAATTGTCTTTTTGTATGTTTATCAATATTCTATATTTTTCTTTTTCTTTTGCAAATCATGAGGAACTAGATTTTTTTAATGAAGATTCTTAGTTGGTTAAGCTTGAATTGTAGCAATGTTTTTAATTTCTGTGCAATTTCTTTGAACATAATCTTTAACAGGTTTCCTATGAATTCTTTTGTTCTGCAGTGAGGAAAGAGTTTGAAAATCAACAAGCAAAATGTCAGGGTAAGTGAACACCTTACTTTTCTAAGAGAATTATCCATTGAAATGGTCATTCGCATATTTTAGAAGGGCCCTTTTCTTCTAGTAGTTAGTTTCCTTTAAAATGCATTTCCCAATTTTGTTTTGATATGTTTGGTAGGCCTATTGCAACTACTTTTAATGGCTTTTTGTATAAGAATTTGTTAGCTATTGAGTTGATTGTTTTAGAATAAGTACTTTTGGTAAGGTTAAGATGATTGCAAATTGCAATAGTGTCTCTAGCCGGGGGAGTCGCTAAGTTGTTTGCATTATGCTGTTTTTGGAGTATCTTTTCCCTTTTGATATACCCTCTTTTTCGAGTTTTTGGGCATTTGACAGTTTGTGATTTGGCTGTCAAGCTGAACATCATGAATTTGTACACTTTGATAGTTTGCGGGGAGAATAGTTTCTTTGAGGTGGCAGTTAGCTTTTAATTTCAAATGCAGGCATGGTGCAACTGCATTTCATGCACTGTATTCCTTGAGAACTGTTGAAAGTGGTAAAAATTGTTATCTTGAGTATACAAAATACAATACTTGTAAAGTAATATGAAAGGTATACAAAAGATTATACATTATTATTAATTGTATTTGTTTTTATTTGAGTTTATTTTATATATCGGTGCGTGTGTGTGTGCGAATTGTTTATAGATCGTAAAATGTTTTGATAATTATTTGATATTTATTGTTTGTTCTTCTTTGCCCATCCATCAAATAAATTGGATCGTTTCATTGTGAAGAACCTGCTAGAGAATCAGATGCTTATGTGTTATGTCAATGTACGGGTTTAGTACTTGAAATATTGCAACAAATCAACTGCAGATTTTTTATCATTGATTAAAAGAAAGGGGTTGTGAGTTTGAGCTTGTTACAAGTTCTAGAAGCATCATGTTTCCTATGTTTGTCTGTTGCAGTGAGGAGGCTGTTGCCACTGTTGCTCCAATTGAGGCACCTGAGATGGATTTGACGACAGCTATCCAGGTTGTGTTGAGAAAATCACTTGCTCATGGTGGGCTTGCTAGAGGCCTTCATGAAGGTGCAAAGGCGATAGAGAAGCATGCTGCCCAGCTCTGTTTGTTGGCAGAGGACTGTGACCAACCCGACTATGTCAAGCTGGTCAGAGCACTTTGTTCTGACCACCAAACAGATTTGTTACCCATTCCAAGTGCCAAGGTCCTTGGCGAGTGGGCTGGTGTAAGTATTACTTTTTGCCAAACCTTTTTGCCTCTTTTTTTTTTTTTGAGGTCATTTTAAGTAGCAAGTCATGGCTTTGTCTTATTCTTAGCTTGTAGAAAATATTCTGATACTAAGGGATTGTCTGGCTACATCATTTGTGCTTTAGACATTAATCTTTACAATTGTTCCTTGTGCATGACCACTTTTTCTGCTGCTAAGTTCTGATTCCATTATAGCTGGCAAAATGCCAAAATCTGATGCTATGTTAGGTAATGTGAATTTGAGAGAGCCAATTTGGATTCGGTTTGCTATATAAATTGTGAGAATGAAAAGCACATACTGTGCAGAAATTAGATAACATTCAGTATACTTATGTATTTGAAAAGGGTATAAGATGATGAATTTTGAATTCATAAATTACTATAGGTATTTCAATTTAAATTCATCACTAAATAGGGATCCGACAAATTCCCTGAATTTGAAAATAATTATAAAAGCCATGTTTATATGTGTGTTATCACACAATTTTTTACTAAATTTGAAATCTGAATCCCTTTCTTCAAATTCAAGTTACCGAACACAACCTTATGCAATTACTCATGTGATTCATTGGGATCTTCTCCTTGTAGTTATGTAAGATTGATTCAGAGGGAAAAGCCAGGAAGGTAGTTGGTTGCTCCTGTGTTGTTGTGAAGGTATGAATCCATTTCAGCATATATATTGCCTGTTGTATTAATGTGCTGGCATGTTTTGTAACTGGGTTTTTAATTCTTTCTCCTTCTGGTGGGTTTCAGGATTTTGGAGAGGATAGTACAGCTCTTACTTTTCTTCAGGACCATATCAAGTCTCAATGATAAGCTAGTTTATCGGGTTTGAAGTAGAGATTAACATACACAGAGCCTATGTTGATTAGATGATGTCTTGAGTCCAGGGAGACCTTTTTTTGACCGTGTTCCTTCTTTTGTATTTTGTCTTCCATTACTGTGGGCAAAAACACCCATAATTGTATTTCATATGCTGAGACATGCAAACATTGCTTTCTCCTTTATGGTCTTAAGCATGTTACTGCTTTTTTCCTTTTGGCTGATACAAAAGATTACACTCTTAAGCCTATATATCAAGTAAAATATGAAGAAACCTTGATTCTTGAAGCTAAAACAACAAAATGCAGAACCTCTCTTACTGGATTATTTGTTTTTAAATATTGTCACTGCAGAATTTGATCAGATACTGTTTTGCTTGAGATGTGTTTGTTCATGGAACTTTACCAGGTTAGTAAAAGGTATCTCTCTTTCCAAGATGGTATCACTACTGGTTTGGATATGGTCTAAGATTCCTCTTCCTAATTGCTATAAATGACATTTTTCAAAGATTATTTAGTTCATATTCCTTGCAAATGACAAATTAGGCTATGTAGAAAATTAAAACAGCTAATGGAATGGTAGTAAAAAGTTTGAAGGATTTTATCAAAGTCACCCAAACATTCATAATTTCATATCCAACTGTACAAGGACAAATTAGTAATTTGACGAATAGAGATGACTTGGCACAGTGTCACACTTCTCACTCCTCTCTCTCTCAAAATGTACCCGCCAATGAATAACATTATGAGAGAGCTAAAAAGCCCACACTTTAGAGAGAAAGAAAGAAGCCATAGGAATGATAAAAATCGAGAAAAATCTTAAAATGGAAATTCCTAAATAGTCATCGGATTTGAAACCCACCAAATTATAAAATTGATAGAGGGGAAGAATCCGGGGCTACCCATTTTTTGGTTCTGAAAGTCATTTCACTGCCTTGCATGCTTAACACTTTGCTGCCTTTGTTGTCAGCATTGTTTGTTTAGGACTCTAAATGGGAGTATATTTGGATGGCCAAGGAAAAAAATGAGAGTGTTTTTGTTGTGGGTTTAGCCTTTTGGTGCAAAAACCAGTGATAGTCTGAAAGACACGAGCAAAATAGGGAAAAAAAGAGGGCATTTTGGCCTAGGGTTTTGTTAAGTGAAAGTGACTGTGACTGTTTAAAGAAAAAATGATTTCTTTTGAGAGAAAAATGGAGCTTGAGGGGCAACTTAAGGAAGCTGGAAACAACCTCCTTAATCCACCATCTTCTATTGATGAGCTTCTCTTTCTTCTTGACGTAAGATAACCAACTTTTTACTCCTTTCATTTGTCTCTGTTTGATGCATGGCATGCGTTATTTCTTTTTTTTTTTTTTGGGTTTGATGAATTTTTCATTGCAATATTGACTTAAGTCATGAACCGAAACGGGTTTGTTCTTGATGGGTCCATGTTGGAATTATCTGACGTTGGGTTTTGTTGGGTTTGGTTATTTGTTTAGTTTTGGACTAAAAAGGTTTAGGTTTGCCATTTCCTTACGATTTTCATATATTACCTCTGATAATTATCAGTAATTATGTCCTTTGTATCTACATTTTGTTGTAAATGCATTTGATGGAAATTCCTTCACTATATTGGTTGGAATTTTGGACCTGGAGTCATGGACCTAATGGTTGTTTTCTATTTTCTGTTATGTAAATGTTCCATATTATGTTTGCGGGTTAGTATAACAGTCATGGTTTTTCTTTGTTCAATTGCTGGGAAACTATGTGATAAGCTGTTGATGATTTGTTTTTATAAGTTTACTTTTATTTAATTTGATGATTAGTTCTTTATGCATATTAGATTGATCATTTTTGTTGAATCCATCACGGTTAATCTTTAGATTCATGGTTTTGAAGGTGATGTGGCTCATTTTCAATTTTTCTATTCTTTTTACTTTTTTTTTGTTCTGTCCTTTTATGTTATGGTTATTTTGAATGTTTCTGTCACTTAAATTTTTTCATTTTGAAGTTTTCACCCTTTCCCCCCACTTTCTTTATTGTTTCTTTGATTTTGTCCTAAACCCCCTTTACCTTCTTTTTTGTTGGTTTCATTGTGTCTTTCAGAAAGTTGAGAACCTGCTTATCAGTGTGGAGCAGGCACCACCTCGGTCAATGCAGAAGGCACTTCTACCGTTGATGAAGGCATTAATTTCAGATGACCTCTTGAGGCACTCAGATATGGATGTGAAGGTTTCAGTTGCATCCTGTATAACCGAGATTACAAGAATAACAGCACCAGATGCTCCTTACAGTGATGACAGAATGAAGGTAGCTAATGCAGTTTAAATGAGTTCTTGTGCTTAAACCACCATTCCCAAATGATAACAGCTTTAAACACAATAAATTTTCTTTTAAATATATACTTAAATGTTGTTCTTTTTTTTCTTTGTTCTTAGTTCTTACATAATTTGCCTTCCAATTCTTTGTTGCTCAGGAAATTTTTCAGCTGACTGTAGCAGCTTTTGAAAATTTGTCGCCTGTGTCCAGTCGCTGTTATACAAAGGCAGTTTCAATTCTTGATACTGTTGCAAGAGTCCGGTTGTGCTTGGTGATGTTGGACCTTGATTGTGATGAATTGATTGTTGAGATGTTTCAGCAATTTTTGAAAAAAATTAGGTAAGAAGCTTGTTGGTTTCAGTATGATGATTTTTTTGGATATTTCTATAACCAGGATGCTGTTTGACTTCTATATGTTCCTGGAAGATATTGTCCGTGTCTAAGATTACTAAATTTTGTTAGAAGCTGGAGTTTATTATTACTTTTTTATGCTTAGCTTTACAGTAGTTCCTTTTTCCATTTTTATGAACTTATTGAGCTATTTGAATTGTATGATTCTGAATAAAATAAGCTTAAAGCTTTGTCATGAATGTATCAAAATTTCTTATAGAAGTTTATATATTGACAATAAAATGATTAAACTTAATTGTTCTATCACTGTTCAAATGCTTGATAATTTAGGTCTTTCTGTGTGTTCTCCAATTGTATAGAGATAGAAATTGAGTTATTCTAAGATAAAACTAAAGTCAGGTAATTCAGTAAATGTATGCATGATATAAATGTTCATGCTGGTATCGTCACTGTTTACGTTTCATAAAATTAGATTATGAACGTCTAAATATGATGATTTAATGGCATGTTAGAAAACATCTTACTTGAATCCATCCTTGTAGATTAGTATTTCTAGGGCTAGTTTAATATTTGTAACTCAGATCTATGCCCTTGGCCTTCATTGTTTCATGGTGCTTTATTCTGGAGAACTTATGGTTGTGGAGAATTTAAAGGAGGTAAAAAACATGAAGCATCTCTTGAATCGCTTTTCTAAGGCTACATAAGAAATCATGGATTTATTTTTTTGATAACCTGATGACATGAAGCGTTCGCGTTTGTGGTGATTTGCATTTTCCATCGACTATTTGTTTGAGTCTTATTTGTTTGATTATGTTCTAAGAAGAAGTTAGCTGTACTCCACATGTTTCTTTGAATAATCAGTTGCAGAATAAAATGTAGGACTAAGGACATTAATGTTTAATCCTGTGTATCAGGGATGTGACTATTTGCATCACCTTTAACTTTTATTGGCATGCTTGACTACTTACATGAGAAGAGTTTTTCTTCTTTCTTTCCCCCCACTTCTAAATGACGGGAACAAAACCAGGGTTACTTGTTTTACATTCCAATTGAATATTATTGGGCAGATGAGGTGCTCTTGGATGGAGGTGTGCTAGTTTTGATTTGATGAGCACTGTACTAAAAGGAAATTTTGAAGCATATTATCTGAATTAGTTGTCTAATTGATTTGAAAAAAGTTCTCTACTTAGTTATGGCAAGACATTTTTTCTTTGGGTGGGAAAGGACCAATTTTCATATGAACTTTGAAGTTAGATCAACTTATATCATTCTGAAGTCAATGGGACTGGAATTAGCTCTGGAGAAGGAAGATAAGAATTTGATGTCGTGTATAAATAGTCTTGTTTGATATGCAATTATGACAAAACAGAATCTCAAAATAATAATAATAGTCCTTTTGCTTTAACCACCCACCCAGTCCCCCCAATCCTCCAATTACATGCTTGCAATTTGATTGTAATGGACTGCTATCTTTACATGCTTCGGTGTATCAATTAACACACTTATTGCTGATTGATGTAAGATTTTATTATGCATCAAGATGTTTCAATGGGTTTCCAAAACTTTTCACCTTTTACATTAAGTTGCCATTGAGTTTCCTTAACATTTTTGTTTTTAAGATTTGCAACTGATGCATCAAAGTGAATTTCTTTTCACCTTGATGATAGTGCTTAGGAGACTGTCTATTTTGCAATTGTCTAAAGGATATTGAAAGTATTGTGACTTACAGTGTTAGGTATATATATCTGCATTTACTGTGTTCATGTTGGATGCTATTCAGAACTCTATAGCAGTATCCTCCTATTAAGGGAAGTGATGGGTTAGGAAGACTTTAGATAAGCTCACTGCATTTACCTTCTGAAACTGACTAATGGCTTGTGGCTTTTTCTTTGCTCAACCTTAAGGTCCAACCATCCTAATACTGTATTTCTGGCCATGGAATCAATTATGACCTTGGTATTAGATGAAAGTGAAGATATTTCCTGGGGTCTTCTTAGTCCTCTTCTGGCTAGTGTAAGGAAGGAAAATCAGGTAATTTTCCTCTTTGTAACCCTTCTTTTCTTTGTGTTTTTCATTGTTTCTTTGAGACAATTAATACAGTTCACTCATCATGACAGAAAATATTACCTACTTCATGGAAGCTAGGGGAGAATGTCATTGCTAATTGTGCTTGTAAGATTAAACCTTATCTCATTGAAGCAGTACAGTCTATGGACATTGCTTTGGATGAGTATTCTCCAATCATTGCTTCAATCTGCAAAAGTGAATCTGATGCTCTCAATAAGTCTGGGGACCATTTGGTATGATTCCCTCAATTTACCATGTTACTCCATCCAAACTGACTGCTATGCAAGTTTAGTGTTTTCACATTGGAATTCTACAATTAGACAAGTAGGAAGGTTCCTTTAATTGAGGATATTTTATTAAGGTATCTTAAATTCCTTATTTGTACTCATTTTGACTCCATTGAATCATTTTAATTTTAAGGTGGATAAAGATTCATGTCTAGTTTTCAAACTATTCAAGATTTGAAAAGCCTGCTGTTT